AAAGAATAAACACATTTTTTCCTTTAAATATATGAATTGAACAATGTATTCCTGATCGGTTAGAACCTCAAGTAACAATTTTGGTTTTATGGGGGTTCTGTAAACGATGTTTTAGACTTGTAGAATGCTGTCGATAGATAGTGCCATTTCCTACTTTAACGGGAACTCGGGTTGATCCTGGCCCTCTATCTCTGCAGGCAAAAGTCTCCGGCCAATGAGACTACCACAAATCGATTAGCTATTTATCAATTTCATCTAGATGAACGCGGCATTGGGACGGTACTAATGGATATTTTTGGTCGTTATTGAAAATTTAGTCGGTTGCTGACTTTATGTCTGGGCCCAAATTGGGGGCATTTAGGACATTAGATCCATTTTCCCAATAATATGTTGACTGAAACCGTTTGACAGCCGAGACATTCAATTTAGTCGAAAATTGAGAATCGCCTGAAAATCATCGGCATATTTCTTTTTCGTTTACAGCGCATATTTTATTTTTTGTCAATTGACGGTTAACATCACCATATATTTTCTTTATAATTATTTGGATTACAATGGAGCAAATACACACTACAATATGGCTGTAGAACCGCTATCATTTTATCATATGCGAAATGCCCAACATCGCCTGTCGAAGAAACTACTTGTGGGCCATTTTATTCATCTGCATGCTTAATAATACTTCCCAAGCAACATTGCAACTTTTATCGAGGTTTTATAGCATTCTTCCAGTCTAAATCATGGTCTACAAAACCCTTATAGAACCAGAAATGTTACTTGGGTTGTTTTAAATAATAACTTCTGTTCAGGCTTTGTTCACACAAATCTGGAGAACTTATTCAACCACAATATTGAACTACTTGGTGTTGTATAAGGTATTTCGAGAAGCTTTTATTCGACTTACATAAGTTGTAACAGAGCTTATTCAATATATTATTTTTTTATTATTATTATTCAGCGTTTCCCTAATAAACTTGTTATGGTAATTTTGCTTAACGACGTGTTATTGGTATCTTCCAAACCATTTGTGGAAAAGTTCGATCATGTACGGTGGGTCAAAACCCATAGATTGAGAATCGCCTACATTTCATCGGCATATTTGTTCTTCGTTTCCAGTGCATATTTTATCTTTTGTCAATTGACGGTTAACAATCGACCTGGAAGTCTGGATTCCATCGCCATATATTTTCTTTATAATTTTTTTTATCTGCGATGGAGCAAATACAAACTGCAATCCCAAGCAATCTAAAGTTTGGATTTTACTTGAGAAACGAACTCAAAAGTTCACATCTGTTGTTCAAATTTAGTTCCGTGGAACTTTCTTGCTGATTAACAAGGCACTAAACGTACAAACAGAGCCTAATGCTCTTTAAAGTACCGCCAATATTGATTGGAGACTTGAAACAGAAGTTTCTTGTTCCCGTTCAATTGAGCTGTGAAATTCACAAAAATTTAATAAAGAACTTGTTTCGAACCTCTTACACAAAGTTCAATCTAAGTACTAACCGTACCTTTAAGCAGCGTGGAAGTTCGCAACTAAGCTATGTTGAACTTTTTTTGAGACTTAACAGTGCACGTAACGTTCTAAATAAAACTTTGTAGCAACTTAAGAAAAATATAAACAAAATTCGAAGGAAGTTGAACATGTCAATTTAAGAAATGTTGTTTACGTTTGAAGACTAAAACGGTGTTCTGTTCCAAGCTTGACTATAGGTACAAAAGCGTAAAATTGATTTTTTGAAAACAATAAAAAAAAAAATGCTTATTTTATTATCATCGCAAACAGCGGCGCTGGTGGTGTAGTGGAAAGCGTGATTACCTCTCACGCCAGCAGGCCTGGGTTCAATCCCAGTCGGCACCGCCGGGATGTTCTGAGGCATAACATCTCTGATCACGCCTTCCTTCGGAAGGGAAGTAAAGCCGTTGGTCCCCGGTTCATGAGTTGATGGGTCGATAGGTAGGGTCCAGGTGTGGGAGCTGCCTCCCTGGCGTCGGTAGCATTGGTGCTCAGCACGGAAAACAAGATCGACGGAAAACAAATCAAAGTAAAAAAAATATCATCGCAATAAACTGTTTGCCAAATGGGAATAGGAAAACAAAGCTGCCAATCAACCAGGTAATATATTGTCTTGTAAGTTTTTTAAAAAATAGCAAATACCTAGGCAAATGCTCTTATTTATTTTACAGTAAATCAACAGCCTACCACATCTAAACATGCTCCGATACAAAAAGAAATTGATACAGATCTGGACATTTCCTTCAGAGATTGTCTCAAATGCAGCGGGTGGTGGTGGTGGGGTTGGTGTTGTTACTTCAGGGAGGATTTTATCCCTAACGCTTCCTTGAAATGACCGAAAGCTCCTTATATCCTCAAGGGTTCAATGTTTCTACTTAGGTAAATGGCATTACTGCAAGTAAAAACAAATATATTTTATTTTATTTTATTGAGGTTTGCGTTCCACTACCATATCTTGATGAGTTTCTGAATAAAACAAGTCGCAAAACACGTAAATTTACTACAATTGAGTCAAATTGTTTGATATTTTTCGAGGTTACTGAAAATTTCTGCGGAAAACAAAACAAGCTGTCAAATGTCAAACGGCGCAAGTTCACAATAAGTTCCTTATGATCTTTTTAGCAACTTTCAAGAACAGATAGGGGTCTACATGAACTAATCATATACTTTGAAGTTCAAAAATAGTTCTTACGGCACTTGAAAATAGATTTGGCTACTCTGAAAACCATTATTATGAAAAATATGAGTAAAATCATATGATATTCCACTTCGTTCGGTTTCAAAGATGAGGACTCAAGTTCGAAACTTGTGGTATGTAATTTAAAAACATGTATTTTAAATTAAAATATTTGGTTATATTTCAAACATTTATCTTCCGACGACGCAGCAGCTCATAATAAATTAGAAGAGAACGTGGTAAACAGCAAAATAAAATATATATTTCGACAGTGAGCATGCATAAGGGCGTATACGCGATGATCGATTCTCTTCGTCGATTTTCTCTTTGCATTGCTTCAGCTAAGCGAAATAATTTTCTAGAATTTTTTCAATGCAGAGTTGTAATAGCTTGTATTGGCTATCAAAAGCAACAGCAAACGCTCCGAGAAACATTAAATCAAGCGAGTTATTAACAAAAGAGAAAATTCACGAAGAGAATCGATCATCGCGTTTACGCCCTTATGCATGCTCACTGTCGATTTGTTTTCTATTTTGGTTTGTTGATTTCATTCAAGTTTTCTATTTGGGATGAATAGCATTCCCTCCAACAGTTAAACGAACCTTTTGTGACCTTTCAAAAAAGGGCTTTTATCCGAACTTTTAGTTGCTTGGGATCTTGTTGTACAACCGATATGGTTTTATCATATGCGAAACGGTTCAACCATACGTTGTATGGTAAAACCTATAGCGGTTCAACAACTAGATTGGAGTGTGTATTAATCCCATAATATTTTGCTGTCAATAGTTTCGGTAACCTGTTAAACAAAATCCGGACGATGAAACAGGCTGTTTCATCTGACCCACGCGACCGTTGTATATGAGCGAATGCGTAAGATTCAACGGCCGTGCAGAATCAAACTCAAATTAGAACATAAGATTCTCATAACTGCGCAGTAGCATTTTTTTACCGTCAAGCGAACCCCACACGTATCAATATATTGACGCCAAGGGGAATTATTGGCAATAATATTGATGATATGAGCGCAGAAATATTGTCAAAACAGATGTATTGACGTCAATATTAAATGTATTGACAATACAATTATTGTCAATAAAAGCAATCGTGTAGGGTCCACTTCAGTGCAAAAATGAGACCCTTTTCGCACCATCTCAGTGAGCTGGACGCTTAAACGTGCGGGGGTCAAGTGAGGTGATTTAATTTTAATCAAATTGAAAGCGAAAAGTTTGACATTGACGCTCAATTCTCAGCTTGAATCAGTTTAAAGTCGATGGTAGCCATCTAAACCGGACATAGGAGATTTTTTGTTCATTTTGGGGTTTTTCCACTTGTCCTCCTTGGGTTTTCCCATTCCGCTTTGTTTCAGTGCATATAAACAAAGATGCAACGAAAACCCTGTTAGCCTACCTGTCGCATGGTCTGTACTTTCGAACCATCAAAAGAAACCCAATAACTAGTAAACCGGCACAAGTCATCGCTCTATGCAATGTCCGAATTATCAGCACATCATGAAAACACACAAACCAACCAGTTCATCTCTATCGGTGGTGGAAGATTTAGAACTCTGCAAACAATGACGTCAAACGGCGATTCTGGGTTCTTGCTTATCCATACATGAAACCATTGGCAACGTGAGCATTGTTTTCGATGAATTCAAGATGATTATTTCACACCGGCCAAAACTTTCAGCTAATGATGCGTTTCAGATAATAGACATCGGATAATTAAGTCGTTCGTAAAATGACGTTGTTAATTTGTCGATCTAAGATTATTACTACTCTAATGGTGGAAGCTAGAACCGGCATTACCCTCGGATTAAATCCCGATCAAGAATGTTCGACTGCTTTGATGTCGACATCGAAGTTAATCAACACGACGCTAAGCAAACAATTTGCAAATGTTCCAAACAGGGTCGGAATTAAAACTTACTCCGAGTGGGAGCCTACCGCCATAAGATGCGGCTCCGTACAGCGGGAGGAGACACTCTACAAACGGCAAACAAACACTCTCGTATGTATTCCAAAACACTATCATCAATTGAAATGATTTGGAATGATTGTAATCAACGGCAGGGCGGTACTGCGTTTAGATGATTAAATTCTAAAATGAACATTTTTTTAAATATTGGTGAGGAATAAGTTGCGCAGTTTGACTGGGACTGAATTTCCAAATTTTACTGGCAACAACATGTAAATTTGAAAAAATAACTTACAATCAAAACACCGCCGAAATAATCGTCGTTCAAACTGGAATTTGCTTTTCTGGAAATGCCATCCGCCCATATAGTGCAAGCACATCATGACTTCATCCTCACTTTGACGCTGCTGTTCACAGAGTGCCCTTACAACTACGTCAGTGCGGGTGTAGCTCTCCTCACGAGATCAGGGTCATTAGAATAGAAGTTTTCGTTACGTGAATTCCGTTGCCCACCATGGCAGATTTCAGTGATAAGAGTGAGATAATTGTTCCAAACGGGAGTCGCTTGTTTAGTTTTCCCAATTTGAACGAACGCTTGCAGCGCGTTGCAGCGAAGGAACTCAAGGAGAATGAGTTTGTGCGAAAACAGTCACTGGAGCAGATGCGCGAATGGATCGCCAAAAATCGACGGATTAAAAACTGCCGCACGGACGATCGGTTCCTGCTGCGATTCTTACGAGTCAAAAAATTCTCGGTGATGAAAGCGTGTGAAATGTTGGAAAAATATCTCACCATGAGACAGTCCTATCCGAAATGGTGTAAGAATCTTGACCCGTTGGACAAAGATCTGCAGCAAGTTCTAGATTACTGCGCATTGGTTCCGGTCGGTCGTGACAGTGAAGGTCGGATAGTGATCATGGGGGTCGTTCGGAATTTTGACGCTCAAAAGCACAACTCCGATCAAATGATCCGCCTCAACATGGTCGTGACAGAATCGTTGTTCGACGACGAAGCCAACCAGATTGCCGGTTTCACGCACGTGTTCGACAATACCGATATGACACTGGCGCATGTCACCTGCTGGTCGCTGGAAAACATGACTGGCTATCTGCGCAGCGTCGTCAATGCCGTCCCGATCCGGCTGAAGCAAAATCATTTCGTCAATGTTCCCGGCTTTGCCGCGCAACTGAGCAAGTACTGCCTGTCTTTTGCCAGCGATAAGCTCAAATCACGAATTTATGTAAGCATCCGTTGCGTGATGGTGGTGGAGATATTGTGCATGTCATTTTCTGATTTTTTTTTTTGTTCGATTTCAGTGTCACCGAAACGTCGATGATCTGAAGCGGAACATCGACGAGAAGCTGCTGCCTCGGGAGTATGGCGGGGAAGTACCGCTGGTTGAGCTGAACGAGCGGTTCAAACGATATCTGATGACAAAACGGGAAATGCTACTGGCACTGGACGAGATGGAAATCCAGTTGACCGATCAGGTGGAAACGGTGCACGGGAGTGTGGATATCGTGGACGCTGGAGCGATTGGCAGCTTTAGGAAGCTGCAGATCGATTAGAACGCCAGGTTGGGTGGTGATTTTTGTTTTTTGTTTACCTCGCCGTTGTCTTATCTGTTGTGATACGTATACAAATAGACTAGTAGACACTTTCTGTGGGTCTTATCAGAGAGTGGCATTATTTAGCATCCGTGACAAAATGATTTTGTTTATCATAAGTGCAAATTTGAATATAAAATGGTTCAGCCAAAACAGGATATTACGACATCAGAGAATGTGTTCTTATTGGTGTGCATGAAATCTGCAACCTGAACCTGCAATCTGAATGGATGACAGGTGTGATTGTATTAGCAAACTGAAATATCAAGTTTATCTACCTGCGAGTTGATCACTGCTAGTGTAGGTTGCTATTTGCGTTCTGTGAGTGTATGTAATAAATGAATTTTTTGTTTTTGAGTTGAAGGTAAATGAACCTTGTGAGCACACTCTAGACTTATTGAGCGCTACACTGCCAGTAACTGCAAATCAGTCCCATCTGTATTGTTATCAATTTTGAGTTAGCATAATTATTCAGTTTATCTTTCTTTCTATGGTGCTGTACTTCTTGGGTTACCGGACCCTTCCTAACACCGTTGAGGGGGGTAATAAAAAAGCACTGCCGTTTTATGGGGTGGGAATTCTTTGCGTCCTTATGAGTGCCGGTGTTAGGCATTCGTTTGGGATTCCTTCCATTCAATTTCACACACAACACAGCACATTCGTCCATCGAGTATTCACATAACACATTTATTTCCACATACAATTTATTTACAACACTTTAAATATTTACAAGATCCATTACACAACACACATAACATTTTAAATTTTTGTGGCTCTACTTTATCCATCCTTCTGTGAGAGTCAGAACCGACTGCCGTATCCTAAAAAAATTATACCAATCTGTCCCTAATAACTAGACGATCACTACGTGACGTGAAGTTTACGATTTTCAGAGTTCGGAGGAAATGCTATACTAATATCAACATGAAGCTTTAGTGCAATAATTTATTAGCATGAAAAAGTTCTGAATAGGATATATTGGTAGTTCCGCTAGAGTACGGCAGTGTGAAAATTGAACAGAAGTTGAAAAGCTTTACATGTGAGGTTTTTATGTAAATGTTTTATCGATTAAGTTCAATTAAAATTAAAATAAATGTATTTCTCATTAAGAATTCATTCAGTAGTGAAATATTTGATTTGAAAATAACCGATCATGAAACTTTAGTAATTAATGTCTTAGACAGTGTTAACGATAACGATAATTTTGTAAAATTGAAGTGCTGGAGGAAATATTCGAAGCAAGCTGTTTCGAATCTTGTTGAGAGAAGCGTGGATTTTCCATTAGTTACCGGAACTTTAGATGAAGATGCAGCTGTTCTTACTAACGTTTTGAAAACTTGTACCAATAAATTAGTTGAACAAAAGTTTGTTTCTTTGAAAAACTCGAACAGCTGGTACAATTTGGATCTTTTGCGTCTTAAACGTAAGAGGGACAAATGGTACAAAAAGTTTTGTAGATCTAATAGTGATAATCATTGGAATAGGTACACGGTCGTGCGTAATAAATATTCACAATCGATTAAGAAAACTCGATGTGAATATATTCAGAGGAAAATTGATCAGCATCAAAACAACAGCAAAGAGTTATGGAAAATTTTGAAATCTTTGATGAAGCCTAGTAATTGTAAATCGCGGACCATAACTTTTGATGGCATATTAGAACAGTCAGAACCAGTAATTGCTTCTAAGTTTAATGACTATTTCGTCGAGAGCGTTTCACTGATCAATCAATCTATTGAACTGATCAATGAACCGGACGAAATAAAACAGCCGATTAATAGTAATTGTAGATTTAATGATTTTCACCCAATTACATTAGATGAACTTAAAAATATTTGCTTTTCATTAGGAAAAACGGCTGGAGTAGATAATGTTAATGCTAGAGTTATTCAAGATTGCTTTCATGTCATTCGACACACTATGCGGGACCTTATTAATCAATCATTGCAATCTGGGCACGTGCCGCATATTTGGGAAGAATCTTTAGTTGTTCCTATACAAAAAGTTGCTGGGACGATTAAAGCCGAAGAGTTTCGTCCCATCAACATGTTGCACACATTAGAGAAAATTTTGGAACTTGTTGTAAAAGGCCAGCTGTTAGAATATTTAAATAGTAACTGTTTGTTGATACCGGAACAATCGGGATACCGGGAAGGCCATTCTTGTGAAACCGCGTTAAACTTAGTGTTAGCTAAATGGAAAGAAAATTTGGAGCATAAAGATACGATTGTTGCTGTGTTTTTGGATCTAAAACGCGCTTTTGAGACAATTTCTAGGCCCTTATTGTTGAGAACAATCAAGCGCTTCGGAATTTCGGGTTCTGCATACAAATGGTTTCAAAGCTATTTATCTGACAGAACACAAAGGACGGTTTTTAATAATTTTGTATCTTGTCCCGTTGACAATGACCTTGGAGTGCCTCAGGGAAGTGTATTAGGGCCCCTTTTATTTATTATGTATATTAATGACATGCGACGAGTTTTACGGTTTTGTGATATTAATCTTTTTGCTGACGATACTGTGTTATTCATTGCAGCTAAAGATTTAGATGATGCCGTTTTACACTTGAATGAAGATTTGCGTTCTCTAAGTAGATGGTTGAAGTATAAGCAGCTAAAATTGAATACAAGTAAAACTAAATTTATGGTGATTTCGCGGAATCGTGTAGATGATGATGTCTCTGTTGTTATTGATGATGAGATACTTGATCGCGTTCAGGAAATTAAATATCTTGGCGTGATTATTGATGACAAACTCAAGTTCAATTCTCATATTGACAATGTCATCAAGAAAATTGCCAAGAAGTATGGAATCCTATGTCGCTTGAAAAACGATTTAACTATTGGTAGTAAAATACAGTTATACAAATCAATCATCTCCCCTCATCTAGACTTTTGCCCTTCCATTTTATTTTTGGCCAATGAAACACAAATATCGAGATTACAGCGTTTGCAGAATAAAGTAATGCGTTTGATTTTAAGATGTAATAGATTCACTTCCTCAACTTTTATGCTGGACGCTTTGCAATGGCAGTCAGTGAAGCAAAGAATTGTGTTTTTGACTATGGTGTTCATTTTTAAAGTAGTTAACGGTTTGCTGCCTCGATATTTGTGTGATCGGATTGAAAGAGGAAGTGATTTTCATAGATATAACACTAGAAACGCGGATGAAGTAAGAACACCACATCTTTTGAATAATGCTTCACAAAATTCATTATTTTTCAAAGGTATAAATGTTTTCAATTCGATGCCTGGACACATCAAGCTTGCAACTACACTTACAGAATTTAATTCACATGTAAAAGCTGTTTATTGAGCAGTTAAATTTTTATGAATGGATAAATCATGTATCTTTACAAAGTTATCTCTAACGGATTATTTTGTATGGAGACTGTCATAAAGACATTTTAGTAATTTGTGTAGCTTATACAAAAAACTACATTGTTTGCCTCGATGGTGATGATGGGTTTTTAGTTTTTTGATTTTGTAGTAGTAATAGTAAAAATAGCTTTGAGTACTCTACAATGGTTTGAGCCTCACACGCGGAATACAGGTATAAATGACTAATACGTGGAAATTGTAGCAAAAGCCTTGAATTAGTAAAGGGTTGGTTGGAAGTCGTTTCCTTGGATATATGGCACTGCGGAAGCTTAAACGTGTAAATCCCGGGTCACGTGTAAATGGAAGTATTGTCGAGGACTATACTTGGACTTTTGATAACTAGTTACACCTTTGAATGTTTTTGGTTGATGCCTATAGCATATTTAACAGGACATTTATATCTGTAATTGTAACTTGATTTTGTTTGCAAACCTGGTTAAAATGTTTATATTTAATTATCTTAAAGATAACTCGTCCAGCTCAAACCTTTGTAGGGGTAAGAGGTGGGACCATCATCATTCATTCATCATATTTCGAGCGTTTCATAAAGTTCTATGTCGAAGTTATGCGTTATTTATAGTTAGGTGTCCTAGAAAGCTGTGTTATATTTGGCAATTAAAAAACTTATCTTTATAGATAAGGGAAATGTCTCTAATGTTGGCCTATGGATCTAAGATTGGGACCATTAAAAATCTGTTATTTATCAATTTTATCTAGATGAACGCGTTATTGGGACGTTACTAATGGATATTTTTGGTTGCTATTGAAAATTCAGTCGATTGCTGAATTTATGTATGGGCCCAAATTAGGGACACTTAAGGCCCAAGCGCAATGGCAGTGGAAGCGGAACGGCAGCGGCAACGGAAAAGCCCGATCAGAGTACGCCTACTTGTCGGATTGAAAACAAGTTAGAATCAAATAGACTTCGGCTAGGCAGCTTGATGTCATTAGTGACAACTGTCAAACTTTCCGTTTCCGTTCCGCTTCCGCCCACATTGCGTTTGGGCCTTTAGGCCGACATTACCTGCATTTCCCTTAGTAGCTTTCATTGCACATGCTTTCGGAAGGCGCCATGGAATACTTCGCCTTTCGTTTAGATTGGCGCAATTTTTAAATAAAGGAATCGATCTAAATTTCAAAAGAAGAATGTCGTTAGGAGCTTTCTTCTCCGCAAATCGGCTGGTGAACAGAAATGCGTGAATTATGCCTTGCCTTAAAAAGTAGTTAAATATAGTGAGTGAGATTTTATTTCTCAGAAGTTATTTTTATTAAAATGTTTTTTTCTTTGTACAGTGTAGCAAAAATATCTTTTGAATTTCGCGAAATCTGTACGTTTAATTTTATTAGTGAATTTTGTACAAAAAGGTAATAATTGAATTTAGTTTTATATTAGTTTAATTATTTAATTAATGTGAGTTCGCGTTGGATTTTCAGCGCTTTGCGCTTTTTTGTATGGGCTAGAAAAATATCTTCGATTCGGCTGTCGCTAAACCGGTCAAGGGGTTCCGTTTAAGTGGCATATTGATGAGATAATTTTTCTGGGTGACTTCAATCTAGCTGGTGTTTCGTGGAAACCATCTCACAGTGGCTTTCTCTATCCAGACCCTGTACGCTCTGTATTTCATACAGGATCAGTTAGCCTTCTCGATAGCTATAGTGCAGCAACGGTATCTCAAATCAATGACGTAGTTAACGAGAACAATCGAAGCTTAGACCTCTTTTTCGTTATCTCCAGTTATCTCCACGGCACCTTCTCCACTAGTAAAGCAAGTTCCTCATCATCCTCTTTTGGTTGTC